ACCTAGCTGCCCTTAAACATGCCCCGAAACAGGGTCCAGGCAGGCATGAAGGCTAGCCCTGGGGGCAGGGCAGGATCAGGAGACAGCTCACACTTCAATCTAGCTGGAACACAGAAGGCACGAAAGGGGAATGGTGGGCAATGAGGTCAGGAAGGAGGCAACTGAGGGTTCCACTGGCAGGATGATCATTTTGAGAGATGGGGAAGTCAGGAGGAGCAAAAAGGGTTAGGGGAGAAGGGAAGATGCTTGGTTTGGTGTGCATGGAGCTCGAGGCAGCAGCAGGCCGTCCAGGTGGAGGTACCCCTCAGGTGGCTGGGTGCGTCTAATGGGGCATGTTCTCCTGTGTCCACTTGGGCCCACCTCTTAAATGCAGGGTGCCCCCAGGTGAAAAACAGAATTCCCTAATTCCCCTCACTCAGCTGCATGGGACCTCGAAACTAAGGAGCCAGATATGGGATATCCTCCCCTCCCCAGAGCTATTGTGTAAACCCTAAGTGCCCTCCTGCCATTTGCATGGGATGATTTCAAGTAGAAATGCCTGTATTAGAAGAACATGTGTATGTGCATGCACACAGGTGCACATTTCCATTTTTCACCTTTGTATCTTCATTTCCTAGCAGAGTTAATAGATCAATAAACATTTATTAAGCACCTACTATGTGCCAGGCATTGTGCTAAGCCATGGGAATCCAAATAGAGGCAATAGACAATCCTGGCCCTCAAGGAGCTTACAATCTAACGTGCCTGGCCATAGCGACTTCTTCTTCTTCTTCTTCCTTTTTTTTTTTTTTTTGGTGAGGCAAGTGAGGTTAAGTGACTTGCCCAGAGTCACACAGCTAGTGAGTGTTATGTGTCTGAAGCCACATTTGAATTCAGGTCCTCCTAACTCCAGGGTGGGTACTCTATCCTCTGCGCCACCTAGCTACCCCACAGTGACTTCTTGATCTACAAGCGTTGACTATGTGCCTACTATGTGCCAGGCATTGTGTTAGATGTTAGAGATACCAGTTCAGAGAATAAAACAACCCCTATTCTCGAAGAGCTTATATTCCGGGGCTTATTGAAGAGAACAAGGACAGACCTTTGGGGACCACCTTAGGGATAGGCAGTGGAACCCTAACAGGAAGGAGAACCCACAGAGCAGATCCAGAAAGGTAAGGAAGAGAGTTTCAAGGAGAACTGGGGCGGGGGAGTGGGGGCAAGGCAGATAATCTGCAAAAGCAGCATGAGGGCAACAAGGCCAGGCACCCTTTCGCTGACATCAAAGGGGGCATGCTTTCTCTTCAGGGAGGAGTGCTGCCCCCACTTCACGCCTCCCAGACAGTACAAAACCCAGGATGCTTCCAAGTCCTCCACCACCCTTCCTTTTTATTTTTTTAGGCAAAATTGGGGTTAAGTGACTTGCCCAGGGTCACGGTATTCTTTGCCCAAGTGTCAAGTATTTGGTCTGAGGCTGGATTTGAACTCAGGTCCTCCTGACTTCAGGACTGGTGCTCTATCCACTGCGCCACCTAGCTGCCCCTCCACCACCCTTCCTTGAGGGACCCCTCTCCATCCTGTACCACCCCAGGGTCCCATTCCCATAGTCTGATTTCCTGAAATATACCCCTGGCCTGGGTGGGCCAGCTCCTTTTTGGGTGTAAGTCTACCATGATTAGACTGTTCAATGTGCCACTCACTCCCACCTTCTCACCTCTCTACTCCCACAAATAAAAGAATTCCATGTTAGAAATCTAAAGACAGGAGAAAAAGATGCCCACCCACATGTTAGGTGCTAGGAGGAGTGTTGAGGGGCTGGAGACAGTTCCTGAAGCTCACATTCCTGTAGCGTTTTGAGGTTTGCAAAATCCTTTACATACATTTCTTTCACTTGATCCCTCATAACAATCCTCAGGAAATTCACACAAAAAATTATTGTTTTCATCTCTCAGAGAAAGAAACTGAGGTTCAGAGGCAGCGGTGACTGCCCCAGGTCACATGGCTACTAAGTGACAGAGCTGAGAACTCTGCCTCCAAGTCCAAGCCCGTTTCTGCCACCTGACGTGAGCTCATGGGATCATAGATTTAGAGCTGGTAAGAACCTTAGAGATCATCTAGTCTAGGGATGGGGGACCTGAGGCCTTGAGGCCACACCTCGAGGCCACAGGTTCCCCACCCCTGAATTCTAGTCCAACCTCTTTATTTTACCAATGAGGAAAGTGAGACCAGAGATTAAGTGACCTGTCCAAGGTCATAGGATAGTAAGTGGCAGAGGCAGAATCCACACTTAGATCTTCTGACTACATACCCAGTGCTTTTCTCACTGTGTTAGGCTGCCTCCTGAAGTTACCATGTTCCTTTTTATAAAATGAATGCCCCTAACAGGGATCTTGTGAGGAAAGGGATGTGAACTAAGACTGGCATGCTGTGAAGTACCAGATTACCAGGTGGGGACTATAGGAGCTCAGAGGAGGGAGCCTTGTGGACTTGAGGCAGTCAGGCTAAGCTTCCTGGAGGGAGAGCCTTGAAGGATGGGAAGAATTCAAACAGGACAGGGGAGGAGGAAGTGGTCCTTCAAGGGTTTAGGGGTAGAGTCCTTGATTAGGTACTAAACTGATGCCCCTTCCAAAATTTGCCCTTGGGTTCAACTTAATTTTGAGTTTAAATTTAATTGAGCTCAATTTGATTTGACAAAGATTTCTTAGGCACCTATTACATGCCAGGCACCATGATGGGCACTGTGGATACAAAGACAAAAATCAAACAGTACCTGCCCTCAAGGGTAGGTCTTAACCAGTGGTAACCATCTTAACCAGTGGTAAAATGACATCTACACAGAAAAGTCAATGCATAGTGACTGCGAAATAAAGAAGACTCCAGTAACTGGCTTAGTGTAAGTGTAATGGTGACACGGGAACTCTGCTTTGAAAGAAGCCAGGGATGCTAAGAGAGGCAAGGGGAGGAGGGCATGCATTCCAGACACGGAATGTACCAAGGGATGGGGATGAGAGATGGAATGCAATGTGGAGATAACAGAGAGAAGACCAATTAGGCTGGAACTGAGTAACAGGAAGGAAAATCATGTGAAATATGTCTGGAAGAGTTGGCAGGAGCCAGGAAGTGAAGGCCTTGAAATGCCAAACAGAGGAGTTTTGTAAGCTTATCCTATTCTTCACTTTTCTTTGTGTCATGGATTCACAGTCTGGTAAGCAGGGGGTGTGCTGGAACCAGCGGAGCCAATTGTTAAATTTTCATCGTAATAATCCACAACTTGGAAATGGTAAACTCTACAAATTAAGAGCTTGATTTATTGTTTTGTTGATTGTGTAGACTAGATTTGAGATAGAAGATGTTAACAATTCAGATTAAATTTGTTTCGGGTATACATTTTTTTCTCTTCAAAGAGCTGGTTGTTAAATGTTTACCAGCACACCCCTAAGCCTATGGGGTTCTTTCTCTAATAAGGTTTTTAAATAATTGGAGGAAATGCAGAGGTTAGTGAAAATCTGTCATTGTTTTCCTCTCAGAGTTCACAGACCCCATGAAATCCAATCATGGACTGCTGGTTAAGAAACTTAGTCCTAGAGGGTAATGATTAGGATTTGTGTGTTAAGGATATCGTGTTGGCAACTGTGAGGGGCAAGTAAGGATTGCTGGAGGGGAGAGACTAGAAAGCAGAGGCCATTGCAATGAACTTCATGTAATGCAAGGTGCTTTAAGAATATAGTATAAGAGGGACAGCTAGGTGGAGCAGTGGATAGAGCACCTACCCTGGAGTCAGGAGGACCAGACTTCAAGTCTGGCCTTAGACCAAAACACTTGACGCTTCCTAGCTGTGTGACCCTGGGCAAGTCACTTAAGCCCAACTGCCTAAAAATAAAATTAAAAAAAAAGAATATAGTATAAGAGATGCTTTAGAGGTAAGTTGGTAATTCACCAATAGAAGTAATTGACAACAGCTGGCCAGTGATAGCATATGAGAGTTTGGGGAAGGGTCTTTGGTATCACTTCACAGTTAAGTGTCTCTTCCAGGACTCTATCTCCCCTAAAAAGGCCTTCTCCCTCCAACCAGTTTCATTTGAATTTTACTCATCCTTCAAACTTGGAGAGAAAAAAACAACCCAAGCTCAGATTGTAAACCTCAAGGTGACCAGAGGTTGGTGGTACCAACAGAATGAGGGAAATTTGGAGAAGGAAGAGCTTTGAGGGGAAAAATGAGTTGTTTTGGCCAAATTGAATCTGAGGAGCCGTGTGGTAATCCAGCAAGCAGTTGGCAATGAAGAGGGAGCATGGTATAATGGACAGAATGCTCAAGTTTGAAGCAGGGGGATCTGAGTTCAAGATCCATCTAAGACACTTGGGCAAGTGTCTCGTGTCTCCCAGCTTCAGTTTTTCCAGCTCTAATAGCATGAGGATGATAACCTTCAGCACTCTCTGAGGGTCACTGTGAGGTTCAGAAGGTGCTTTGCAAACTTTAAAATACTTCATAAGTGTCAGTTATGAAGTTATTTTAACTGTATCTTTATTGATATCTTGTTTTTACATGGCCTAGATTCCTTCCTGGCCCCTTTCCTCAAAGTCATCCTTTATATAACAAAGGATTTTTAAAGTTATTTTTAATGTGAGACTAGTGTTTAGGAGGGAGAGATCAGGGCTCTGGCAGGTCTCTGCATCAGGACAATAACTGAGAAGGGGGCCCAGCACGGAGCCTTGACCCTAGGAGGGTTCAGTTTTGGTCTTGGCTTCTGCTGTGTTCTACCCCCACATACCCACAATCTTTCTCTCCCTTCATGCCCCTACCTCCTCAGCTACAATCTCTCCCCATCCTCAAGCCCCTCCCCTGGCCCCAGTCCACTAGACTTCACAGGGGGTACAGGCCCAGGTGCCTCTTCCTGGAGAGAACAGTTGCTTTTCCCTTCTCTCTGCCTTGAAGGAGTCCAGAGTTAGTAACACCCCACCCTACCCCACCTCGCCCCCATATGCCCCCTCTCCAGAATTCAGGAAGAGTGATCACAGCCCAGAGAGGAGTTCCTTTATTGGAGCATAGCAGCCTTCAGGGAGGGTCAGTGGGTATGATGAAGCCACCTCAGTTAGCCTGAGAGACGGAAGGAGTGAGCAGAAGGTTATCTTCCAAAGCTTGACCTTCTCTCCCTCCGAGGCTGGGGTCCAGCCCCCCTTTCTCAGATGGAAGCCGGGCTGAGGGCACATGAGGTCACAAGGGCCTGGTACTACTGCCTCTGCCCCCCGCCCCACTCCATCTTGTCCTGGTAGTCAGATCCTATGACGGAGATCATGGGATGGAGAAAATATTCAATTGGGGGGAGGGGATAGAGGAGGGGGACAGCTTCCCTGGGCTCAGTAGACCACCCACCACCCTTACCCTGAGTCTGCTGGGAGGTGGGGGTGGGGGTGAAGAGTCTGGCAGAAATTCAGCCCCAGAAGGCCCATGGCCACCCTGGGGCCCCAGCAGTCCCTCATTCCCTCGACAAAGAGATGGTGGCCCAGGACAACAAGGTGGTAGGTTATATAATAGAGGCTCTGGGTACAGGGCTTCAGAAGCAGACCCTGCCCCAGGCCTCCAGGGCCAGGCAGCCCCTCAGGCCTGGCTTCATACAACACACAGCACCACACACTGAGATCCATCCCTCCCTGCCTCCCTCCCCATGCGGCCTAGGGGCGGGAATGGGGAGTGCCAGTTAGGGGCTACAGGAGAGGGGGCTGGCCTCTCCTGTCTCCAACCTTTCCCCAGTTTTTGGAGGGGGTGACTGGGAAAGATTGTTCCCTTCCCTCCCCAGGACAGGTGATCAGGACAGGGAGGTGGGGCCTCATTTCCCTTCAACACCTAAAACAAAGCAAACTGCAAACATTGGTCCCTCTCTAGTAACCAGGGGAAGGGTCAGGTCCCCTAGGAGGGGCCAGGCAGGCCATTCCTTGGGCCAGGACCTACTGGTTCTCCTCTCTGGCAGCGTGAAGGAGACAAGGACACAGGTCTAGGGTTAGTCCCCTCCCCCTTGAGATCCCTTCCCCACAAGCCTTGGGAACAGAAGGCGCAGAGATGTGAGAACGAGGTAAGGGACTTTCCCTAGGCCATCACTGTGCTATCCCCTTCCCTGCCTTGGGAAAAGAGGGACTTCACAGCTGAGAGGGAAAAATAACCTTTCACCTATCTCTCCCCAACTTCAAGCTAGAAGCCCAAGGGGTCAGACAGATTTCTGGGGGCTATACAGGGTAAGGGGACAGAACAACCAGCACGGTGGGGGAGGCGGGAGAAGAAGGGGCCCAGGGACTCTCCCCACCTCCTTCCCCAGGGACCCAAGTGCCTTACAGTGTTTGATAGGTGTTATCCTTGACCCGGACAAAGCGGATGAGGAAGAAGGTTACAGCCTGTAGACTCAGCACCAGCACTATGCCCCCAACAAAGCTAGCACCATCAAAGCCAGGAGTATGGGTGTCCAGAGGTGGGACAGTGTCAGGACTGCCTGGACGGGGCAGAGGAGGGCATCATCATGTCTGGGCCTCATCCTTCCCTCATCCTCATACCATGCCCGGGGCCCCCGTGCCCAGCAGGGAAGGGCAAGGCCAGGACACAAGAGGACAGAGCTGACTGGGACCCCCCCTCAGAGCCCATTGGGTTTAGCCCCTGCATTTGAATTACATAGAGATTAAGTTACTTGTTGAGAGTCAAACAGCTAGGATACAGCGGAGCTGGGAGTCAAACCCAGGTCTTCTTATTCCAGGACATCCAGTGTTTTTTCTCCTTAATACAATTCAGTTTTCCCACCTGTTCTCTCCTCTGTTTCCTTGCTTGAGTCTTCTCACACCTCCTCATGGGAAAACTGCTGTTAGCAGTTTTGCAGACACAAAAAGAGCACAGGGAAGGCTAACAGATCTGCCACTAGAATTCACCAGCTGAGTGGGCAAATCATACTTCTCTGGGCCTCAGTTTCCTCTTTTGTAAAATAAGGGAGTTGTAAAGTCCCTCCTGTTCTAAGCATTCCATGTCTTAAGGACCCTTCCAGCTCACAGTGAGTTAGTTTGTAAGCTCTCAGCGTAGAAGCCAAGCCTCACTGCAGCCTTGTAACATCGTAGATAATCCCATGCTTATATGTGACTTCTTCCTTCTAAAGCCATTTCAGTTCAGGGAACACATTCTCCTGATCCACATTCCCATCACCCCCTGCAAGATGGGCAGAAGAATCTCCATTTGACAAGTGTGGACATCCTTAGGGATTCTGAGTCCTGGCCTAGGGCAGGGGTTCTGGTCCCTCTCCTATGGATTGCTTCCTTCCTGAAAGTCCTCCCTCTCCAAGAAGCAGTAATACCTCTGGGAGCAGAGGCGTTATGGGCTCTGTCCTTCCCTTAGGATAAGATTTCACCTCTTGGATTGAGGGTTTGGGGAAGGGCAGGTCTTGACAGGGCAAGATCACCTTGGGACAAAGGGCAGGGTAGGTCCCTATCTGAGCCCAGGGATAGGATGAGTAGGAAAGAAGAGATTGGGTGCAAAGAGAAAGAAGAGTAGACGTGGGGAAGCCCTGAAGAGGGGGAAGAGAAGGAAAGAAAAAAAAAACCAAGAAAACCAGTATCTGAGAGAAGGGCTTGCTGGTGGCAGAGAGAACTGGCCTGCCTATCAATAATTCATTCCTTGGGGAGATCTCATTACCCATTGTAATTTAACCAAGAGCTCCCACTGATCCCTTCCCCACCCCCAAGTTATCAAAGGTTCAGCCTTGTGACTTCTCCAGATGCCCCCTCAGCCCCCATGTACACCCTCACCCAAAGTAGGGGGGAAGGCTGGGGTTAGGGGCTTCCTCCTTCCCCAAGGCCCCTAGAACTGGACCTCCAGCAGCTCTGGCCTCCTTCTGGGGCTTAGAGTCTGCTGCCCCAGAGCTGGTTCTCCCACCACCCATCCGCTGCCCCCCATGGTTCACCCCATACCTGATGTGAATGCCTTTGATTCCTGGGTGGGTGGCTGTGGAGCAGCTGGGGAGACATAAGCTATTATAATCCAGGGGAAAAAACCTCTGAGATCTTCTGCACTAACAGCCCTCCCCACCACCTTTGTTCTCCTGCAGCTAAGCCAGGTTTTGTCAATCAGCCTCCTTCCCTTGGGTACTGGACCCCCTTCTCCCTGCTTAGAGTTACCTGGGCACAGAGCTGTGTGGTTATAGATAGAGCAGCCTTCCTTGGCTTCTTCTTCCCGAGCTACACAGTGCCCATGTCCTGGAGGAGAGAAGGAAGGTTGGGACAGGAAATCCCCCAAAGACTCAGCCTAGAAACAAGTCCCCAAGGATTTTCCCAGCCTTCAGGGCCCCAAGGGGTCCAGACCCAAATTTGAGATAAAGGAGATTCCTGGAGGTTTTGAGAACACTGAAGGTTTCTAAGTTTATGGACTGACAAGGATAAGGAGTGACCTTGGAATGCAGACTGTCAACTCGATGAGATTTGGGGATGTGGAACATCAGGAGGGAGCTTAGATCTGCTCAGGGCCCCTTCCCTTGGACCTTGTAAATTTGGTTTTGAAAATATTTTGATAACTATTTCAATATGATTTTATTTTGCAATCCTACATATTTTGTTTTATGCATTTCAAAACCACATTCTCGGAGGGCGTCTGTGGCACACACCAAAAAGGCTGAAGACCCCTGATCTAGGCCCACCTCATCATTTATAGATGTGAAAATAGAAACCCAGAGAAGGGAAAGGCCTTGTACAAGATCAAACAGCGGCAGAGCCAGGATGGTCCCTATTTCTCCTGGCTCCCAACCCAGCGCATTATCCACTGTATCACCTGCCATTTAAGTTACTTATGACAGAAGACTCCTTAAAGTAATAATTGAGAAACTGTTGAGGACTGTGTAGGAGGGGGATGGGGGTGGGAGGGGGATGCTTCCAGATTTTCATTCTGACAGTTGGAGGAGTCACACACAGCTCCCTTCCCTTTTTCCAGGCCCTTACCTGGCTCCTCACCCCTACAGTGTTCCCACACACAGCCTGAGAGGTTTCGAGCAGGTTCCCCCTCCACGCAGTGCTTGCAGGATTGCAGCTGTTTGCATTCGGCAACAGCAGCAGGGCCCCAGATGTTAAGACCGAGCAGGGCTCCCCTGCCCAAGGCTCTGCCTCCTTTACCTGGAGTGGGGGAAGAAGAAGGAGGCTGAGTAGTCAGGGAGGGGCTTCCCCAGCCCTGACAGACCCTCCTCTCTCCCCAGCCACCTCCAAACACACACCTGGGGTCTGTTATCTGGTCCCAAAAGGAGTAGGGACCAGCTGTTTCCTACTCCCCACACCCAACAGCTGGTTCTTCCTGACTCATCCTTCAGTCAGAGTTGTGGAATTGCTGGGAGGTCACAGCTGGGGCCACACCAGGCAGGTTCTCAGGGTTTAGAATCAGGTCGGCCTGGGACAGCTACAGGCTCAGGCCCCAGCTAGAAGGCAGGGACCAGGACTTTGCGATTGTCTATGAGGATGAGGGAAATTGGGAGGAGTTGCACTCTTGGCTTGAGTAGCTGGGAGATGGGGGGAGGGTTGGAAGCAATCACGTCTCTGAGGGGCCGGGCTACCTCATCCTGGCAAGAGGACGTCTGCCTGAGGAGGTTCATGCACCTGATAAGGGGTGATGCGAAAGCATACCTGGCTGGGAAGGAGGGCCCGCCCACACCTGGCTGTCCCCACCTGTCCCCCACCACTCACCGGCTGCTGCAAGCTGGGCACAGAGCAGGAGGCAGCAGCCGCTGCAGAGTGCAGCCCGGAGGGCTCGGGGCCCCAACACGGCCATGGACTCAGGAGGAGGAGGCTGCTCCTGACGCTGGGCACGGAAGGGATGGCGGAGCGTCCCTGCCTAACACTGGGCAACTGGGGAATAAGCCGGCACCAGGAGAGCCCCAGGGTACCTGGGCAACCTGGGGCGGGGCCCGGAGAAGGAGGGGGCGTGGTCATGGTGCGGAGGCGGGGCCAGGTGAGAGGGGACCAGGTCCGGGACTAAGCTGGTGAGGTGGAGGGGGGCTTAACAACGCGAAGAGAGTGGGGGGCAAAGGAAGAACACCCCGCCCCACACACACGTGCGTTGAAAAAAAACGAACATAGAGGGTGGGACGGGGTCTGGCAGGAACATAGGGCATGGCCAAGAGCAGGGATTCGGGACAGGTGAAGGTGGGGCCAGAAGAATGGGGAGGAGCCAGATGAAGGAGGACCTCAGCGGGCCAGGAACACAAAAGGGACCAAATGGGAACGGGGCACGTGGACCCCAGAATTCGAGGTGACCTCAGCAACCAGACGTATCTGGGAGAAAACAAAATGTAGGCGTGCTTTGGAAGGAGGGGCTTAAGAAGGTGAGTAGGGGCTGACTTTAGAGTAGAAGATTTTGGGGTTGGGCCATGGGGGAGGGACATTAAATCAGAATGGGGAGAAGGAGATCAAAGTCCCGGTTCTTCCATCCTGAGGAGAGTTTTCCTCCTAAGGACTTGATCCACACTACGTGGGTTTTTCAATCAGTCAACTAAACATTTATTAAGTGCCTACCTTGTGTGAGGCACTTTGCTAAGCAACGGGGGATACCAAGAAAGACAAAAACATGGGCCCTGTCTTTTAGGAGCTCACATTCTTGTAGGGAAGACAGTCAACCCCTTCGTTTTACAGATTGGAAATCTGAGGCCCAGAGAGAGTGAAGGAACTTCAAGTAATCAACAAGCATCTATTAAGCGCCTACTTTGTGCCCAAAAATGTGCTAGATGCTAGGAATAAAAGCAAAAGTGAGATTGATCCTGATCTCAAGAAGATCACTCCTACTCAATTTGGGGCAAGTTAGTCACAGAGCACAGTCTTGAACCCAGGTAACCTGACTCCCAATTCAATTCACAAACATTAAGTGTTGCCTACAAATAACTCAAGAGAGGAAGTGTGTTTTGGTGGAGACAATCATAGTGATAGAAGGTCCACCTCTGACGAGGCAGATACCTGAACTGTAAGTCTTTCCTCTGAAATACAAGCAACTTAGACTATAAAATTACAAAGGAGTTAGCCATCCTCATTGTAAGAGGGAGATTTGTTCACATCATCCTCTCGATGCCCTGATGAAAGCACAGGTCTGGTTAAAATGATATTCAAGGCTTAGTGCTCTGGGGATCTATGCAAAGACAGAAGTGAGAGAGTCCCTGTTCTCAAAGAATTTAAAGGCTACTGGGCTATGGTGGGAAAACATGTACACAGATGAGGAAGTACAAGCTCTATAGAACAGATTGTATAGATTCCATGCAAAGTCATTTCCATGGGAGGCAACAACTGGAGTAAATAGGAAAAACAACTGGAGTAAATAGGAAAAACTTCCTGTGGGAGGTGGTACTTGAGCTCTTAGGGGTCCTGAGAGGCAGAGGTGAGGAGAGGGACATGCTCTGTATAAGGGAGGGGAGGGACCAGCCTGGGCACACAGATCCAAGATGGAATGGCACATAATAAGGACCAAGAAGTAAGCCAGTTTGTGTGTGAGCGCGCGTGTATGCACTTGCATGGGTAATCTGCTTGGAAAGACAGGCTGGTCCCAGCCTGTGAAGGGTTTAAAATGTCAAAGAGATTAGTTTATATTTTATCTTAAGGGTAATAGTGAGCCACTGATGGCTCCTCAAGAAGGGAAGTCATATGGTCAGAACTGTGTTTTTCGGGTTTGGATTTGGCAGCTATGTCTCCGGGGGACAGATTGAGTGGGGAGAGTGGAGCCAGGGAGAACAATTAGACAATTGGAATGGTTATGTGAGTAGACAGAAGGGGAAGGAAGGAGGAATGTGTCAGGACCTCTTAACTTGGAAGGCTTATTTCATTTTTTATTTTTTAGGCAATTGAGGTTAAGTGACTTGCCCAGGGTCACACAGCTAGTAAGTGTCAAGTATTTGGTCTGAGGCTGGATTTGAACTCAGGTCCTCCTGACTTCAGGGCCAGTGCTCTATTCACTGTGCCACCTAACTGCCCCTATTTAATTCTTTAGAGAGATAAGTGCTACTAGTTAGCATGTGTAGAGGGGCAGCTGGGTGGTGCAGTGGTTAGAGTGCTGGGCCTGGAGTCAGGAAGACCCGAGTTCAAATCTAACCTCAGACACTTACTAGCTGTGTGACCCTATATTCTGTCAGAGATCTCCAATTTACCCTGTCTCTAGCTTGTCTGTACACAGTTGTTTGCACGTCGTCTCTCCCATTAGACCAGGGGCTCCTGGAGGGCAGGGGTTGGCTTTTGGCTTTCTTTGTATCTCCATCACTTAGCACAGTCAGTGCCTTGGCACACAGTAGGCGATTAATAAATGCTTGTTGCTTTGACTTGTCTGCCACTGGGCTAAGAACTAAGGGATACAGAAAACAAAACAAGACACTTAATACCCAGTCATCCCCTCCCCCTTCCCCGCCAGTATTTTGCTTTCTGTTGCTTGAGTTCCTGCACGCATTGATTTCCCAAGGAGAAGCAGACTGTGAGGCCTTAGCTCAGTTGCAATTTGGAATGGGGAGAGAACCCTTAATCTCACGAGTGAGGAAGGGTTGGGGGAGGTCTCCCTAGCCTCAGGAAGTGCCTTGGCAGAAAAGCAAGTGCAGTTGCTTGCCCTCCAAGGTCCTGAAGCTGATAAGCTCTATCTAGTCTATGGGAGAATCCTCTTGGGAACTAGAAAACACTGCCGGGGATGGGGTGGGGGTGAAGCATTGTTTTCTTGTCATTGTTCATTTTTCCACTTCTCCCACTTCGTTAGAGTCTCAGAATGTACCCTTAGAAAGGGCCCTGTGGTTCTACTGCCCACCCTGGACCTCACCAGATCCAATCCCCGCTCCCAGGCCACCTCTCCTCTTCGTGGTATTCCTATTATAATGTAAACTTCCCCAGGGCGGGACTGTCTTGTTTTGTTTCTTGGTCTTGGCCAGTCTTTTTATCTCTGTGTGTGTCTCCAGTGTTCCCTACTCCCCTCCCACCCATCCCCACTTCTGCCAGTGGTGGGGTGAGCCAAAGAGCTGGGGGTGTGAAAATGGCAGGAGTGTGTGTGTGTGTGTGTGTGTGTGTGTGAATGTGTATGTGTGTGTGAAAACGAGTCTGCAAGGTTCCTGGGAGGGCCAAGGCTTAACAGGATCTTCCTAATCAGGATCTCTGGAGTATGGTTTGGAGAAGAGCAGCAGAAAGATGGTCCTACCCTCAACAAAAATAAGGAAAAGACAAGGGTGCAGAATTTGGTGTCTGAGGGTCTTCATTCCTGCCTTCAAATCCTGAAATCCCTGCTCAGCTGCTTTGCCACTTACCAACTGTCTGCAAGAAATAGGCCAAATTGTTGAATA